GGGGACCAGGGCGGTTCTGGATGCCGTCTCGTGGGACAAGACGTAAACCAGTCTCATGAACGCCTGCGTAGGGGCTCACCTGGCCTCTCCTCTGGGACCCGTGGCCAGAACAGCTCTGGGAATTGCTGACTTCTCTGTCCCCAGTGTGGCAGTGTCATTAATTGCTTTTTCTTTAATAGACTGTACTTTTTAGAGCAGTTTTAGGTTCCCGGCAAAACTGAGTGGAAAGTGCAGAGCGTTCCCATGTACTGCCTGCCTCCACACCCGCATGGCCTCCCCCCACTGTCAACATAGTTGATTTTTATTCACTTATTTATTATGCAGAACTTCCACAAAGAGCCTTTTACATTCCCGTCTAGGCCTGCCCCCTGCCTCTGATCCCCCACACTGAGCGCCTCTCTGGGCTCTTAAAGATATATTTTTTTTGAGTTACTTCACTTTCCCAAAAACGTTGCCCTGGGCTTCCCTGGTGGCGCAGTGGTTGAGAGTCCGCCTGCCGATGCAAGGGATGCAGGTTCATGCCCCGGTCCGGGAAGATCCCGCATGCCACGGAGTGGCTGGGCCCGTGAGCCATGGCCGCTGGGCCTGTGCGTCTGGAGTCTGTGCTCCACAATGGAAGAGGCCACAACAGTGAGAGGCCCACGTACCGCAAAAAAAAAAAAAAAAAAAAAAAAAAAAGTGGCCCTAAATAACCGTCCTGCCAGAGCTGAGAGCAAGCATGACTCTGACTGGGTTCAAAACCCTCTTTATCAATTTAATCCTCTGTCGCCCTCCCTCCCCACCAGCGTGGATGCAACCAGAGAGACAAATCGCCTGGGAAGACTGATCAATCACAGTAAATGTGGGAACTGCCAAACCAAACTGCACGACATCGATGGCGTGCCTCACCTCATCCTCATTGCCTCTCGCGACATCGAGGCTGGGGAGGAGCTCCTGTACGACTATGGGGACCGCAGCCGGGCTTCCATCGAAGCCCACCCCTGGCTGAAGCATTAACCCCACGGCCCTGCCCCTCCCCCCTCCCTTCTTCAATGGACAAAGTGCCCTCAAAGGGAATTGACTTTTTTTTTTTTTTTACACATTTAATCTTAGCAGATTACTTCAGATGTTTTTAAAAAAGTATATTAAGATGCCTTTTCACTGTAGTATTTAAATATCTGTTACAGGTTTCCAAGGTGGACTTGAACAGATGGCCTTATATTACCAAAACTTTTATATTCTGGTTGTTTTTGTACCTTTTTTGCATACAAGTCGAACGTTTGTGCTTCCCGTGCATGCAGTCAAAGACTCAGCACAGGTTTTAGAGGAAAGAGTCGAACATGAACTAGGAAGCTGCGCGACGCGCCTGCGTCCACCCGAGGAGCCGGGACTCCCTCCCCTCCTCAGCCCCGATGTCCCAGTGCCAGGCGGGTGCGAGGAAGAGCTGCCTCCCCACGGCCTGGACGGGATGTTCCCAAGCTCTTGTTTTCCTGACATCTCGACAGGCGCACATGGAAGTGTATGAATATTTTTTAAAAAGGTTTCACAGTAAGATAGTCTTCCCCTCTGCTTTCTCGAAAGCTTACTGACCCGGTGGCTCATGGGCCGGGCCTAGATTTACTCTTCCACGGGCTGCCGCTTTTCTGGGCACCTCGAAGCATCAGGGCGGGGAATCAAAGCAGACGTGGGCAGGAACAAGCACTGCTTACCTAGCCCTGCCGGGCAGGGGTTCCCGAAACTGGGTTAATTTCTTTATAGAAATGTGAACACTGAGCTTATTTTAAAAAAAATAATAAAAATCAAAAAACAAAAAAGAAAAAAAAGAAACCACAGAAGACAACTTACATGTATATAGGTCTTGAAGTGAGTGACGTGGCTGCATTTTTGTTTGGGTTTATTTTTTAGTTTGGCTTTTTTTCTCCCCTTTGGTTTTGTTTCTGTAGAAGAGATTTGAGATGGTACACTATTCTAATCAAAAATAAAGTTTTGTAGTGCGACCAGAAATTACTTACCCAATTCCCCACCTCCCCACCCCCGCCCCAACCTGATTCTGCTGGGTTGAAAGTTCCAGACCTGCTGTCAAGGCTTTTGTTTGTCAGACCCCTTGGTATCCTTCCTGTGAAGATGCAGCCATGAACCAAAGGGTGAGCCTACAAGCCCCGAAATGCAGGGTCCCCACCCCAGCTGCTGGAGTGCGGGGGAGCGGGCCCAGCGGCCCAGGGATCACGGCTAAGGGTAAAGTTTTCACCTTGACTGTGACAGCAGGAAGAACAGGTAGCTTCCTCCCAAAGGGGAACCGATTCCCACTTTCTGTTAACCTGTAGTTCAGGGGCCTGGGGCTCTGGAGCTGTGACGTGGGGTCTCCTGGCCCCCTGCTCCCAGGTAAATGTGAATGGAGACAGGTATGAGAGCCTGTCCTCAACTTCAGTGCCCCTGCCCTGGTCTCACGACGGTGCTACCTAAGAAAGTCTTCCCCCCACCCCACACTTGCCTGGTCAGTGGTCAGTGAATTGGAGGAGGATCTGATGGGAGTGTGTAAATGTGAGATAAAATGTCTTGGTTGTACCTGTTTGTGGCTTAGCTTTGTATTTAAAAAAAAAAAAAGGAAATAAACTTGAAAATTATTTGTCATCATAAAAATGAAATGAAAATTAAAATATTTATTGCCAGGCGAGGCTATGTGTGTCATTCTGTTTTTTTGTGTTTTTTGTTTGTTTTTTACAAGGCAGAGGCAGAAAAAAGGTTGCATTTTGTTTTGTTTTGTTTTGTTTTTTGTTTTGGCCACACTACACAGCTTGTGGGATCTTAGTTCCCCAACCAGGCATTGAACCCTGGCCCTTGGCAGTGAGAGCATGGAGTCCTAACCACTGGACTGCTAGGGAATTCCCATTTTATTTTACAAAGGGCCACACACCCGTGTGAATCAGTTTTGGTGACTGTCCTCCTAGGGGACAGTCTCCGTTTTTATCATGAGGGGGGGTCAGAGGTTGCTTGTGGAGATTAAAAGTTAAACATGTTGCCCCCTTAGAACAATGCCTGGCAAGTAGCATACATTTTAGCTGTTGTAACTGTCATTATTGTTGTTTGTAACGTGCTAAAGTTGATTCTCAGGTAGGCGTCTCAATGGTGCTGGAAGTCGTGTCCCCCGCCCCTCCGCCAGCCCAGATCGCCATCCCCACCGCACACGCCGCCACCACCACACGCCACCACCCGCCGCTGAGAGGCTTAGTTCCCTCCGCCCCAGGCACTAGAGGCAGGTTGGGACGGTGGATAGAGTTCTTGGTTTACAGGTGGAAGATCCATTCCCAGCATCGATCGGCTTTAAGCATTTGTCAGCTGTCACCCTGAACAAATCACTTACCCTCTGAAATTTGTCCATCAGGTTCGGAACAGCCTCTGCCCACCTGCCTTGCAGGGGTTTCCGCAGGATTCAGTTGTCACGTATTACTACCTCCTCACATTGGAGGGGAAGCGTGGCCTGGTGGTCAAGTGCTCAGCCCTGGAACAGAACCTCAGGTTCCAGCCACTTAGCAGCTGTGTAACCTTGGGCGGGTTACCTAACCGCCCTGTGTGCCACTTTCCTCCCCGGTGACATGAAGATGACACTGGTGCTTGTGTCGGGGTGATGGTGATGACTGGATGAGTTTAAGACATAAAAAGTACTTGCACAGGGCTTCCCTGGTGGCGCAGTGGTTGAGAGTCCGCCTGCCGATGCAGGGGACATGGGTTCGTGCCCC